AGTAACGCAGTGTGTTGGAAACTAATTCAAGTGGACACCTCCCAGCTCTGGGTCTGGGATTTGATTGGCCCCCAGAGTTTACCAGGGCCAGTCCCTCATGATTCAGTTGAGGAAACTGAGTCTTGGGGAGGAGACGTGACTTCTCCAGGGCCCCTCAGGCGCTCAATAAATATCCATGGGACCCACTGAGGAGTTAAACAGCAACCTGGCTGTCTGCTCTTTTGCTGGGATAGCCACGCCCACTGGGAGGAGGCGCAGACCTGAGCTCCCCAGGTCTGTGACCCCTTCTGAGGTCCCCTGGGCTGCTCCGGTCCCCCCCTCCTGCCTCTGGACACCCCAGCACCTCCCTCTCCCTTTGTCACACACAGTCCTGTGGTGACTGTCTCCTGGCTGTCCCAGAGCTCTTCCCGGTGAGGCCAAATCTCCCGCATGGTAGCTGCTCGGACAAGGTCCAGTGACAAGGCCGTTCTGCCTTCCCGGGGGACACACTGGCCCTGGGGCCACTCACTGCCTTGGGGGTCTGGCTGGTCACATTTCCTTTTCTGGGTGCCCTGTGCATCCCCCACTGCTGCTCCACCCCACTCTCATCCTGAGACGGGCGGGAGAAGGCAACTGGCTTGCGTTTTTCCCTCTGATTTTATGTTGGTATTTAAATTGTGCTTGAGGAAGTCATTCACGGGATCCCCTCAGGCTCATGGTAGAGAGCACATGAGATCCTCAATAAGCTTAATATGTTTGTATTAAAAATTAATAAGAAAGCTACATTGTTTGTGACTTTAAATCATAATTTGATTTAGTTCATTTTATTTAATATACAACCACAGTTCTAAAATTACTTAAAAAAAAAAGGACGTGTGATGAGATTGCAATCGGTCTGGGACGCCATCTATTCCTGAGTGAACCGTGCCTGTCGCGTGGCAGACAGTCTGCGCTGCCATTCCTCGTGTGACATTTAGCGTCAGCGCCCGGGAGCGGCCGCCCCCTCGGAGGCTCCCGGTGGGTCCTCTGTGGACGATTACGTGCAGGCGCTTTTTAAATGCCACCATTACAAAAATAAAATTTAATGGAAAGAGATAAGCTTTTCCCAGCACAAGCCGGCTCCGGTTTTATATTTCCTTAATCTGTTTTATATACTGCTGCAGGAAATTAAACCAAAATTATCCGCTCTGACGTGCACACAGGAGCAGCGGGGAGGGTCTGCGAGAAGGGAGACAGATTTACTGTAAGCCTCTTTCTTTTGGGGGGGAGTTAAGCCCTCCTCATTTTCCCTTCATGGAAAGCCAGCCTGGGCCCACGACCACATGGAGCTCCCTTCTTACAGCGCTGTGAACGGCTGTCCCACTGGCGTCCAGGCCTGGGTGGCGTCCAGGCCAGGGACAGATGTCCTCCATCAGTAGGTCTGAGTTGCAACTTTCTGTGTACTCAGCATAACGTGTCCTTGGCAGACCCAGAAGACAGTCACTGACAAGTTGTTCGCATTACTAAACCCTCCTCCTTTCTTCTCGTCTTCCTCTCCTTTTCTCTCCTATCCCGCCCATCACTCGGGAAAATGACGGTGTTTATTTGCTAATCCTATCTGTGTTTAGTCTTACCTTCCAGAAGAATGATAAAGGTGTGTTTTTTTTCAGTCCTCCGCCCCAGCCCTACTCATTTCCTGCCCGTTTCCAGTCTCAGTGTCTCACGTCCTGCGCGTGCACATCCAGGGGCCGTCTCCTGCCCCATCTTTGCTTCCAGTGCCGCACTTGCCACCAGCTAATAGCGGAAAGGACACCTGCAGCAGCACCTTCACTGGGAGGGCCCGTGGTCCCTCAGTGTGTCTCAGAAGTCCCACCTAGCAGACCCTCCAGCCCCTCTCACCTTGTCACTGAGGACTGTTTGAAGGTGGAGGCTGCGCCCTGCAGTCATGGGCGAACACTGGGTCGGCCTCTCAGGGCGAACTTGAGGACGCTGGGCCAGAGGGTCATCATGGCCCTCCCATAGGGCAGTGGGCTCGGAGGTGGGAAGTGAGGCCTGGGAGGGCCAGGCAGTGTCCCCCTGCTGCTGGTGGCTCTGCAGTTCCAAATGGCTGCAGAGCTGGACGCCTCCTGCTAACACGCAGGCTCTCGTCCTGGGAGGGAGGGAAACATGTGATTTGGAGGAAGATAATATTGGAGACGTGCAGATCAGCCTCATCTTGTCCCAGTGACATGAAGACAACTGTCACTTAGCCTTTGGGTCAAGCCACTGAGAAGCACAGAGCATCCTCCAGGTAAGGAACTTGCGGAAGCAGAACCAGGAGTGTGGAGAGCAGCTAGTCTGGAGTTCTCCTGAGAAACAAGGCCAGGCCTTCCTTCCTTTCGGGGTCGGGACGCCCCGCAGGGAGGGCCTGGCCTTTCTCCGGAGGCCTGTGAGTGGGGCGGGGGGGACGGTTAAGGCTTTCTGCAGAGAGCATTTCGGGCAGTGCCTGTGGCCTGTTCATCTGTCTCTGCCACATCACAAGCCCCTCTGGCCTCTGTTGAGCAGAAGGGAGGAGAACATGTAAGACAGCTTTTAAGTAGAGAATTTCCCATGAAGAATTTCTCTGATCTCTTTTTTTATCCTCACCTGAGGACATACTTATGGATGGTAGAGAGAGGGGAATGGAGGGAGAGAGGGGAATGGAGGGAGAGAGAGGGAGAGAAACACCAGTGTGAGAGGGAAACATCGATTGGTTGCCTCTTGCACACGCCCTGACCAAGGACCCAACCTGCAACCTAAGCATGTGCCCTGACTGGGAATTGAACCCATGACCTTACAGTTTATGGATGCTACTCCAACCAAATTAGCCACATGGGCTAGAGCTCTCTGATCTCTCTTTACAGTCCTGCCCTCATGCAGGTCTCTGCCTCAGACCTTAGCTGTCCAGGCCAAGGGAGGACCCTGGGCAGTGCCTCAGGGGTGAGAGTGGGGGAAGAATGATGCATAAGACGTTTGCTCCCCAAACAGTCATGGGTCTTCAGCCCAGAGGGACCTCACAGAGCTGGGCTGCCTGCAAAGTGGGGCTGCTCCAGACTCCTCCTCTCCATTTCCAGACACCCCACCGGGTGGCCACAGATACTGTATACCCACAGGGCAGGCACACCCAAGGGACTCACAGATAGCCCACCACCCAGAATCTCAGTCCCAGCTACCTCTGGGTTTCCCAGCTGGGGTGTAGGAGGGGGTGGGGGACTGATGGGCCAGATCATCCTGAAAGGATTACAGGCCAATTCCATGAGCAGGGAGAGCTCTTTTCCCGGCTGGGGGACCAGGACACCTGAGGTGCTGTCCTCTCTTTCTCTCTTCTCTCTGCTCTTCTCGCTTGTTCCCTCTCTCTCTCTCTCTCTCCCTCCCTCCCTCCCTCCCCCCACTGGTCAGAGCTAAATCTAGATCCCCTCTGACGGCCTTGATCCCAACCTAAATGGAACACTTTCAGAGGCCAAGGAGCTGCAGGTTTCTCCTCTGTAGCACAGAGGGGGCTCTGGCTCCTGACTGCCAGGGGCCCCCAGCGTGGAAGTCTCTGTGGCTCTGAAAATGTGCACCCCCAGAATTCTACCTCTAGGAACGCATCTTCAGCAGATAGGAGCACAGGCAAAGAGTCACGCACTGGAAGGCCTACATCAGTCACATCATAGGAAAAGTTGGAAGTCATCTAATTCCCAGGAGTGGCTGAGTGAAGGATGGTCTGTGAACATGCTGGAATTAGGCGTGACGGCCATGACGATGGTAATTGTGCTGGCTGCAAATTAACACTGAATGATAAACAGTTGCTGTTACGTGTCGAGAGCCTACTTGATCTGTTGTGCTCAGCCCTGAGGGCACGTTGGAATCCCCGGAACCCGGGTTCCACCCCAGGATCGTGAGTCAGGTCTGAGCCTTGGTGTCTCTTCGGCCACTGCCCGGTCAGTGCCGCCATACAGCCAAGGCTGCGGCCGTGGTACTGTGGGCCAGGTGCTTCTCGGGGGCCCAGTAGCCACCGGGGTGAGCCCTTTATGTGTCTCCCGAAGGCACGTTTGCATGGAGCACCATGAATCTGGGGTCCCATCCCTGTCCCTTAGCCCCCCTTTGGGTCAGCACAGGACAGTGCTGTCTGTCTGTGGTTTACTTGCTGCAGAAACAGCTTTGAGGGTGTTCTGGTCCTTTATTGCTTTGTAACAAACCACCCCAAAGCTTCTCGGAGTGCGGCCAGCACCACTGACGCTCACAGGTGATTTGGGTTGGGACCTGAGGATTGCAGTTGGGCAGACTGGGGCCTGGCTGTCTCCTGACCGCTGGCGGGAACCATCTGGGGCTGCTTCAGGCAAGGCGGCCTTGGCAGAAGGGCCCGGCGGGGACAGGCACCAGACGCCTGCGCACGGCCTGTCCCTGCGGCGCGGGCTTCCTCACGGCACAGTGGCTCGTGGTTCCAGGCGGAGGCTGCGTGGCCTTTGTGACCTTGCCTTGGAACTCCTTTGCATCGCTTCCACTGTACTCTACTACCGAAGCGGTTACAAGCCCACACAGATTTCAGGAAGGTCTTGCAGGATTGGTAGGAGATTTAGTGATAGACCGAACTCGGAGAGTCACGGAAGGGGTTGTTAAGATACCAGTGCTACGCATCATAGGTCACAAAAAGAATACAAGAAACTGTGTGTACATCATCACCACAGTGCATGTAGATGAGAGTCCCATGCAGCATGCAGAAACGACAATTTATTTTAAGGTGGTAGGAGCATGGTATTTCATCCTTAATGTTACTTCTCAAACCTCTGTAGCCGCCCTCCAAACCTGGGCGCTGACAAATCCCTGAAGGTCGTTCTTGGATAGCCAGCCCCAGCGTGGCTCGTGAGTGAGTCTGCTTTCCAAACCCCACAGCAGAGCAGTCGCCCCGCTCCCTGCGTATTCCGGCTTGGAGAGCCACAAAGCCACTCCCACGCTGGGCCTGCACTCTCGGGGAGAAGAAGAGGAGTGGGCAGGGGCCCTCCTGCTCTGGGACCTCATCTGTCCTCTTTCTTTCCCCCTAGGCATTTGATATTATGAGAGTGACACACGGCAGAGAGCACAAGCTGATTGAAGACCTGATTCTGCTCTTAGAAGAATGTGACGCCAACATCAGAGCCTCCTAAGGGAGCCTGGCCGGGGGAGGATGGCCCGTACCCTGATCGAACGCCTCACTGCGGCCACAGGCCCTGTGCGTTGTCTGCCGTGGGGCCCTCCCCCGCTGGACGGGCAACTCTGGGTTCGGGTGCACAAGGCAGACATTTGGTCTGCAAACCACGAGAACCATCAGTTGTAGAGAAGCACGATGATAATAAATATTAAACATTTGGTTGAAAATGCCATCTGGCAATCATTTTCTCTGCTTACTCATTGGTAATTGTAACGCTTAAAATCTCAAACATTAAAGATAGAAAATCATATTACAATCATGACGGAGTGAGTATGAACATTCTCCTTGGACACATGCAGGAATAATGGCATAAAAACCAATGTTTCCACGTTTGTTTCCCTCCAGGCTCTGTCCGTGTGGGCAAGAAGCCGGATCTTCAGACGTCGCCTTCCCTGTTTGTGTTAAACGGTGTCTGTGTTCACTATTCCCGTCCAGATACGTCTCCCGCACAGGAGGTTTCGTCCTGCATCCTGGAAAGAAGTCATTTTAGCTGTGAATGTTTTTTTCAAATGTCTCATGGCTATTTTGTAACTCCCTTATCCTTAGCATTTTATAAGCCTTTGTGTATGTCATGCCTTTTTTTTTTCCTTGATTTTTTTCCTCTAGTTCCCTAGGTCTGTGGTTCGCACAGGTCACGTGATCTGCATAGCGCGGAGCAGGTCCTAGCGTTCTGGTTCAGATCGGGCTGGCCCTCTTTCCTCTTCCCTCTCTGCTGTTCCTTAACTCTGTGGCCTGCTTTTCCACCTGTCTTCTGTAGACAAATACAGAAAACCTTTTATTCTCCTCCAGCAGGAAAAAAAGGTAAATTCTTCTCTGGCTCAGTGATCGCACGAGCAGTTTGGTCCCTCCTGCTCAGTTGGCTTCCTGCAGCAGAAAGATTCGTAGAGAGCCTCCCGCCATCCACACCTGACTTTTCATGGAAGGAAAGGAGCACAGGGCTGATGGCAGAATCCGGAGCGGCTACTCTGGGTCGCTCCCCGCCCTCACAGGGGGTGTGGCCAGTCCTCCGGCCATGTGGCTGCACTGGCAGCCTGCACTGGCAGAAAGGCACATGGACGTCTGGTCGACCAGAAGGAGCCAGCCTCGGTCTGCAGCTGAGAACACTGAGCAGTGGGAACTGCAGTCTGCTGGCTGAGCACCTGCTGGTGACTTCCAGCGCTGAGACGTGAGCCGTCTCCTGCAGCTGATGAGTTCTGCGGCCTTTCCCTGACCTTGCCGCTTCTGCGTGAGCTGCCGTCTATTGGGTATCGAGCTCGTCATTAAGACTCACAGTGTCTCTAATAACCACAGCACTGCGACAAGGTGGGTTGTATCAGTAAGGAAGCTGAGGCCTGGAGCCAGGGGCTCTGGGACCCCTCCTGACTTTCCAAGTGACCTTGACCATGTGCCTTAATCTCAGCCTTTTTTGAGAGGCCAGTTCTACCCAATTCTACAAATACACGTTGAATGGTTACTGCGTTTTTTGGAAAAGGGGAATCGAAGACTGGATAAGCCCTGCCCCTGGTCCTCACAACGCACACTGTCTGGCGTAGCGTCTGTGCCAGGTAGCTTTGAATGCGTAACAAAGACACCACAGTATCTCGAGTGGGTTTTGTTCCTGATTCGGCACATCCACGCTTGGGGCTGGAGAGTCCTGGAGTGGCCCAGGCTCTACCCAGCCGTGCCTTTGCCAGGTCCCGCCGCAAGGCCGTGGTGTGCCGGGGGGAGAAACTGTGGCCACCTGAGCAGTTTACCACAGCGGCCCTTACGCCAATGTGGTGTCCGGAACATTTAGTGAACTTGATGAGATCCTTAGACCTTTTTTCTAGAAAAATGTCTGCATGTGACCAATGCTTTCAGGAGCAGGGATTCCTGGGCTCCCTGTAGCCCACCCGCGGACTCCCTGGGGTCCTTCCAGCGAAATAAGACTTGCTGCCTTTCGGAAACACTGGTGGGAGTTGTTTAGGTTTCTCATTTATTTTCTTTCCTCCTTTATGTAACCTGATGGTACTTTTTGTTGTTGTTTATTACCTTTTATTGTTTATTAACAGTCGTTCCAATATTTCCCCCTCTGTCCTCCACCCGGCCCACCTCCCGCTCCCGCAGTCAAGCCCCACCCTGTTGCCCATGTCTGCGGACCATTCACACATGTTCTTTGACCCCTGCCCCTTCTTTCCACCGCTATCTCCCTCCCGCCTCCCCCCTGGCCGCTGTCGGTCTGTTCCATGTTTCCTTGCTTCTGGCTCTATTTTGATTGGTAGTTTATTTTGTTCATTAGATTCTTCTTCTAAGTGAGATCATACGGTATTTTTCTTTCGCAGACTAGCTTATTTCACTCAGCATAATAGTCTCCAGTTCCAGCCATTGTGTTGCAAAAGGTAAGAACCCTTTCCTTCTGCTGCACGGCATTCCATTGTGTAAATGTACCACCGTTTTTAGTCCACTCATGTACTGCTGGGCACTTAGGCTGCTTCCAGATCTTGGCTATTGTAAATAATGCTGCTGTGGACATAAGGTGCATAAGTTCTTTTGAATTTGTCTTTCAAGATTCTTAGGGTATTTTCCATGCAGTGGAATCGTTGGGTCAAAAGGCAGTTCCATTTTTAATTTTTTGAGGAAACCCCATGCTGTTTTGCAACAGTGGCTGCACCCGTCTGCATTCCCCCCACCAGTGCACTAGGGTCCCCTTTTTCCCACACCCTTTCCAGCACCTGTTGTTTGTTGATTTGTTAATGATGGCCATTCTGACCAGTGTGAAGTGGTATCTCACTGTGGTTTTAACCTGCATCTCTCTGATGGCCAGTGATGCTGAGCATCCTGTCCTGTGTCTCTGGGCCCTCTGTATGTCCTCCTTGGAGAAGTGTCTGTTCAGGTCTGTTGCCCATTTTTTAATTGGGTTGTTTGTCTTCCTGGTGTTGAGTTGTATGAGTTCTGGGTTCCTCATTTAAAATTCATTAGGAAAAGCCATAACAGAAGGCGGGGGCCGTCTCACATGCCAAAGGAGCAGAGTCCACCGAGAGAACCCTGCGTTTGCCAATTTTCTGAATGAAATTTATCAGTCACCGATGAGCCTGGATTAAGGGATTTGCCTTCACGCCTCCCAGAGAAAGCATGATAGGCTCTTAATCCCTCTCAGCCAGCTTCCCGTTTTCTGAGGACCGGCCCGCTACCAGAAAGGGGACTTGCCTGCATCTACTTTTCACGGAAAGCAAACACCGAAGCAATGGTAAACATTTACTGAGCGCCTTCACGGCAGAATCCTTTCGGAGGGAAGTGGGCGGAGGGCCTCATTTCAGATGCCTGTCACCAGTGGCTGAGGATTTATTGCCGCCCCAGCCTCTGTGGCTGCCGTTTCATTAATCCAGAGTCACTGTAGCGCGGGCTCTGTTCACATCAGCAACCTGACGCCATTAGTGGCTCCTCTGGGATGAGAACACATTTAAGCTGAAAATGAACACGCCGGGCATAATTTATGGCTATGCCACACGCGTGCTAACAGGGCTGGGGAGGAAGGCTGCGGGGGGCGGGGGGGGGGGCCTGCTCCCCACGGCACGGGCTCCCCCAGCCAGGCAGAGAGGGCGGCGTGGAGCCAGCCAGGCGGCCCCACCCAGAGGCCCCGCCCCCAAGCTTCGCTGCCAGGCAACTGAAGGAGACGCTCCTCCCCTGGGAGCCCACTCCTGAGTCAGGCCCTGAAAACCTTTCCTGCCCCATCAGGAAGTGACGTCACCCTCACTCGGAGCCGGCCCCCTGGGGTTCCACAGGGAGAAGGTTCCAGGCACGGAGTGTGGGACGTCGCACCATCTTATGGCTCTCGATCACGGGTGGAAGCTCCAGGAAAACCACGGAGCCCTCCTTTTGCCTGAGGCTCAAGGTGGTTGAGATGGACCAGCAACGGCACCCCAAAGGGAGATGCCCCCTCACCTTCGTGAGATCTGGAGGCGTCAGCTGCCCACGTTGGTGCGTGAGACCAGTGCCCGGCCCTTCCTGGGGCGCTCGCCCCGCCCTGCCGCTCTGCAGCCCAGAGACGCAGCCACGGGCTCTCCCTTTCTCCGCGGTCAGAGGAACGCGCTCTGGCTGTCCATCCTCCAAGGTGCTTTCAAGATGCCAGCCGTGTTTCCACTCCTTCTCCAGGCCCAGGCCCGTTGCAGGCCCCCCGCTCCTCATTCCTCAGCCACTGGGAAGACCTCTCACTGATCCCGCCTGCTGCCCCGTCTTCCTCTCCTTCCCCCCAGCTGCCGGTCAGTCCCCAGAATGCCCAATCCACCATTGCGCCTCCTAGAGCTCCCCGCTCAGAAACTTGCAGCGGCGCCCCATCGCTGCGCTGCTCCAAGTTCAGTCTTCAGACCGGCGCTGGTGGTCCGAACTGCGGAATCTTACCCTCTGCTGATGCCTGGCCGGGGCTTCCACTGTGGCTGGACCAGCCCCCCTCCCCTTGTCCCTGCCCCCAATCGCCCGGTCCATGCCTCCTCCATCAGCTCCTTGCTTTGTTCACGGTGGCCCTGTGTGCATTCTTGTTGTTTTGGAAACACGGTTCCCGCTGGGGCACCTCGCACCCGGAACAGCCATCGTCAAGGGGCCCTGCACTGGGCATGTCTGCGGGTTGCCACTGGGCCGTCACTGCTTTCCAGGCCTTTTTGAAATCACGAGTTCACACGAACACCACCAGTGAGAACGCAGCGTCCACACTGTTCGTCCTCCTGCTTCCTCGGTGGCGCGTCCCCCAGACACGCATATCGTTCTGGAGTCACTGCCACGCCCACTGCCGAGGGCAAGCCTGCTTACTACCCAGTAAAGCCTGAGACTTTTTCCCAGCGCCCTCTGCTGTTAGGCTACCGAGGCTGAATACAGCCTCGGTACAAAAGTCACCTGTGTGATTCTCTTCTCTGTGACTCCATGTCATCCATGTAATGTCCCGTTAGGTCTGTTTGTTTCTTTTTGTTCTCAGCTGTGGAGCTTGCCCCGTTGTCGATGTGTGCCGCTATGCAAATATCAACATACATTTTGCTGTTACAGATAATGGCACTGTGCATGGGTTTTCTGGGGTGTGTGTTTGGCGTTGCTGGAGATGCACCTTTGGGGTCGTTCCCCGGCAGCGGACCTGCTGAGTCAGAGGGTGGAAGCCCACATAATTCATCGGTGTCGCCAGGCGCACCGGGAGGCACAACGTGTGGCGAGGCCTCTCCGCCACGTGCC